ATAATAATAATAATAATAATAATAATAATAATAATAATAATAATAATAATAATAATAAAGTATTATCACCATAAGGGAATTACAATCTTTTTAGGCTCAGAATAATAAAGATAAAATAATAAACATGAACACACATTATTTATAATAAACGTATCGACCAAAGAAAGTTACTAAATGCTTCTTTCCAAGTTTGCATTATCAATGTATTGGATTAGTGCTTTCAGTAAAGTCTGATATATTGATGATTGTCTTGATTTTTTTGTTTGTCGATCGCGTGTAAATTAGTAAATATTTTGTTAAATTCATCGTGAAGAGTTTTTCTTTCAGAAGAATATTGATATTATTGTTCAAATCAATCGTGTTACATAGTAAAACCTGTTAGGGCAGTTAATGGTACTAAAGTAAACACAAATTACAAAACATACCTGTATTGTTAGTATATGTGGAAGATCTTCATATTGAACTTTAACCAGTTTGGCTGCCTGGCTGGACAATTTTGGATTATCAGCCACAATTCCACCAATACATTGACCGTAGCATACTACCTAAAAAAATGTCAATCGGCAATGTAGTATACAATTCATAAAGCAGTTTCTCATTTTATATAATATATTGTGTTTTTATCTTACAATTACAATTGAAATACAATGCACCTACTTGCTCGGACGCAAACACTTGTTCGTCTAGTCTTTCACCGGAAAGGCCCCAATCATTGTTTCCGGGAACATCTGCTGCACCCACGTAACATCTTACCCCATCTAGAGACGTTGCACCATGCGTGTCAACAGAGCTAGAGAAAAAAAGAAAATTTATATCTGATGTATTGCGCTGTTTATCGATTATCATCATTTGTCTTAATGCAACATGTTCCACATTGTAATATAGTCTTAGCTATCTTCGGCCGAACAATAATCTTAGATGCTGAAAACAGGATCACAACATGCTTCATGGGTTTACTCGGTGATATTCGGTTACTGGCAAGCTGGATATCGAGCGATTACGTAGCTGTTGTATTTATACAGTACATATATTACTTGACAAACGCTTCAAATTAAACCATGCCGACAATAAAACATAATACAATATTTGAATAATAAAACATGAATTATACTTACATTATACGAGCATGGGCACGTGTACTGGTAACCATAGAAAAAAACAGTTCACCTGCAATGATGCAAAACAAATAGAAACATGCGTTTTATATAACAGATATATAAATAACGTACAATGGTAGTATAACTTTATAAAAAAGGAGGGTGATTTAAATATTCAGTCGACATAAACACCATAAATACAGGTGAGCCCAAACACAATCTCGTTATACATCATTCACTGATTGTGAGAATGCCACAGCATACCTTTTCCGCAATATAACTACAAGAGGAAAATAGCCAGCATTGGCACACATATTCCCCTTGCGACTTGGACGATATTTTCAGTGTATGTTTGTTCGATATTGAACTACGGGAAGAAATTGCTACATGGCCTTCAAACTTGGCACACATGTAACCCCCCCCCCCC